ATGATTCTGATGTATTTTTCTAGTGTTTTCTCTGTTCGATCATTCTGTACTGCTAATCGACTGCCTCTGCCTCTATAAAATAGTTAGCAAAGTATTCTCTTCTTTGCCGAGCTTCAGGCAAATAGATATGCCCCAAAGTTGCACTTTTCAACTATACCATTTGACTTCACCCTGCGCCAATTTTCAAGAATTACTCGTGTTGTTTCATTATCCTCAATATCTGCTGTAACTGTTGTATCGTTTCCTACTTTTCGTATTCAGTTATGTAAAACACATGCAGCTTTTATTGATTTTACTACTGTGTAAGGAGCAAGTGATATTACTACACGTCTTGCCCTACAATGTCTATAATTAAATACTTTCTGGGTAACAGTTAATCGGTTTCATTGGGGATATGGTTTCATTAAATATGACTTAAATGATAAGGCTTCATCTCCTAATATAACAGATCCGTTAGGTTGGTTCAGTACATTTTGTCAATGGCTTTTCAAAGAGAAGACTTGCCAAATATTCTATTATTTGAACTGCCATAACTCTTAACATCAATAAATGTAAAATTATAGTTATGTTCCACAAGCAGTACAATGTTAAATGTTCCTCTGTAGTTACAGTATTAAGAACCAGAATTAGGAGGACACTCAATCAATATAGACATGCTGTCCATCAAGTGCTCCAATACAATTAAGAAAATCTTAGCGAGTTTTAAATCCATGTATCACTTTATTTCACTCATTTTCCCTTGGGATACTTTAAAAATAGAAACACGTTTAATGCTCGAATAAATGAACTTTGAAAAATGAAAGGCAAATATCGAGCACAATTTTAACAATTAAATCTTGCCCAAGTACTTTCGCTTACTACAGCATCTTCAGGGGCATTTCGTCAAATTGAATGAATGAATTTATTCTCTCTCCTGTTGCTGACAAAGAATGTAGAGCGTAGAACCATTTAAATTAATTTTAAACTGTTTGTTGTAAGCGAAAGTACTTGGGCAAGATTTAATTGTTAAAATTGTGCTCGCCTTTCATTTTTCAAAGAAACACGTTTGTTGAAACAATTCCAACTAATTAAAAAGATTATTTTATATATTTTGATTGCACAATGATCCAGGCGAAGTTTAACAAGCCCAATGTACAGTAATTAAAGACATTCAAATTATTGTGTGTTATTCATTCATTACATATCTTAATATTCTTCTTCTTCTTCTTCTTCCAGTAGTTCGTGTATGGAGTCAAAGACATCTGGTAGAAACTGGTTTATCGTAAACTTCGGTACTTGCTAAAGGTGCTGCAAAGATACTAGTGAGTAGCCAGTAGTAAGATATCGGCATATTTGATTTTTTTGCTGATAGAGGCATTCGCATAGAGCTATTATTCTTCTGTATCTTAATATTTTATCATTTATGCGCAAAAATGTTTAAAAGCATTTGGGATCGTTTACAGCAAGTTCTTTTAAAAGTGTGGCATAAACACCAAGTTTTCTTGGTGTTTATTTATTCTCTTATCCAAATCTCTTTAAGTTTGCCCCTTTAGGTGGGCCCTTTCATCGCCCAGTCTACAACGAGCGCTTATGGACATTTAAAAAAAAACTTTTGTTTTTTTTAATGTTTGAAGAATAAATAAGGGCTTTTGGTTATGAACATTCATTCTGTGCGATTGGTATTATTTGTCGTTCGGGAATTTGTGAGATAAGAATATCAAAGTATTAAGATATTTATTATTAATATTCATATTTTTTAAGGTTATGTTGTTGTTTGATTAAAGTTTTAATTATTTTTTACTGTGTTTCAAGGTATTTTGTTATTGTTTTTATCGGATATATTAGGTAATAGGCTTTGCAAAACCTTTTTTCCTAAAATTGATGATAATAAATCTTGCCAGATTGTTCCAACTTTCTAAGACATAATTTATAATAATCCGATTCATAACGACTTACGACGTTGTCTGATGCTAAAACTACATAGGTTCTTCGGTAGTTACAATCTTCTTCATTTTTAACCTTTTTATTTTTTTTTCCGTTGGTAATAATCCAGATAGTTGGATATCCAGAAAGCAATGTATTTCATTATTGAATTCTGAATACCTATCTGATACTTAATCGTGTCATTTGTTTTTTTTTGTCTAATCTAGATATATATTCTTATTTTTCTTTGTTTATCTGTCTTGTGTACTTCAGAATGCTCCATTAAGCGATTTATTGATTTATTAATAATTTCTAAACCGTATTTATACTATACAATACATACATCGATATGTGTTTAATATTTAAGAAATAACGCAGACATAGATTGATATATAAATTGCTTAGATTTTTTTTATTACTATCATTACAACAATAAAAGCAACAAAAGGAATAGAAATCATTCACAATAGGTTCGAAAATAGAAACTGACAATCGTTTAGCTTTTATATTGCCAAGATGCCAAGTGTGAAAATGTTTTGTTATGTACCATATGTTATACACTTTTGTGCCGATTGATGAAAACATCTAACTTAAGTTACACTATTAAAGATTCGACAAAAACTAATGGCGAAATTTTCCTAAAACTTTTGTTTAGAAGTGAAGAAACATTACTTGAAAACAAAAAAGATCTTAAAACAATAAACAAATTAAATTTTATCGACTATAACTAAATATTATATCGACTATAGCTAAAATTTAAATTAAGAATAGTTTTAAAATGTTCTCTTGTGTGTTATTAGAACATAACATATTCAAATATTATTTTAAATAGGATTATATCACAATTAAAATCCAAACGTCAAATGTGAAACGTCGTTTGTAATGTGAAAGTTTAAATTTAGCGTTTTTTGGGCATATACCTCATATTTGTTGCCAAAACTCAAATCAAAATTTCATGTTATAGGTTTTAAAGACAATGAAAATTTCACAGCGATCGGTTAATAAAACTAATAAATTTTATTGACGTCATGAGAATCGTAAAAAATATTTTTGACTTTTCTAAGATTAAAACATATCGAATGTTTGCCGTCGGGTTGATACAAAATTTTATTTAAAAAATTGACTTCGAGCGCCTAACCAACATTCAAAATCGCCGGTCGCATCAAGCGTTGTTTCTGAGAGAACGGTTTATTCAACAGAAAAAGTGATAATGGACATTTTTATTCAAAATTACCTCGGCTATATTTTTTATTGGAAATATTTTTTTACGGTGTACAGATTTTGGGCAAATCGATCTTTTTTATGGTCCCAAAATTGACATTCTCAGCAAAATTTAGCTTGTTCTTCTCGTTTTTAGAGGTCAAATATCTGAAAACTGGACTGTATAATCTTATATAAAATTATATTTAACTTTAACATGCCACAAAAAAAAAACAGTTTTAGAGGAACTGAGATAAATGTGTTTTACATTGGTTATAGAAATTCTACCTTTTGAAGGATTTTTCAAAGACTTGATTCTGCTCAATTCCATATGATAATATAAATTTTTAAGAATTTAGTTTTATTTATTGTACTTCTTCTTAAGGTTAGCGGTTATCATGACTGTTTGTTTGTATTTTGTTGATTGTCACTCTGAAGAGGACGTTAGGCCGGCTCAACACATGAGATCAAAAGTTGGCGCCAATTTTAGAGCCAACGTTGGGTCAACTGTGTTCCCACGTTCGGTGAGGCATCTATACATTGGGTTGAGTATTGAGTTGATAACAGTCTGTTTCCCCTAGAGCCAACGTCAACATATCTGACATGAAAATTTTCAGCATAAATCCAGTTCTGACAGACACGAAGGTGACTCAGGTGGCTGAAGATCGATTTTTACATGTTGTAAATTTGTTTTTTAATGTCGTTATCGAATGAAAATTTTCTTCGATAAAGTAATTTTTATTTTCTAAAAAGAATGCTGTGTAAAATGGCAGCACAAGTGTTTTTAAAGAAAAAAGAAGATAAGGACTCTTTTTATAAATTGTGGTTTGTCATTAGTTTATTTTGCTTTGCTAGATTGTGCAAAATTAGATACCTAATTTTATGCATGATGCGAATATTACGCGTTATGGTTCCAACACAGGTTTGTCGGTACACACATTGGACGAACGCTGTTATCCAACGTTATCCCCCATGTGTGGAGCCGGCGTTAGATTAGCAGTTAAACTATTACTAACAGTTAGATTATTTTTAGTAAATTGTATTACATCATATTTATTGATCAATTAGCTTTAAAAACATTAGTTACTATGCTTCCAGCGAAAACTAAATTTCGACTCGGAAAATTGACAAAAGGATTGGTAAAAATGCATTCATAGTACTAATTTAGGAATATCCAGAGCACAGAGCAAAATCAACAGTATCGTAGTGATACCTACACCTATTGTTCCGAAGATTAAAATCTTACACATCGTTTAAGAGTAATTGCTTTAGATTCTATACTTATATAAGTTCAATATTACAGGAATGGTTGACCACTACATTAACAACATCGTCCTATTCGAAGAGTGCAAATTCACATGCAAGATAGAGATGCTACAGGAAAGCGACTTTCTTTACGATCATTTTATCGTAAAACTATGTCTTCTGTGTTGGTCTGAGACTGTGCAGGGGTTAGCTCTAAACTGAGTAGGCGTTGCACAGTGCCTTAAAGAGGACAGACTAGATGTGGTATTATGGAACGTCCAGTGAATATATTTGACAGGTTACTGTCACACTGGCACATACACTTACACATATATTCATACACTAATATTTTGTTGTCTTTTTAATTCAGATGATCCATAATCATTACTATATTCACTACTTTCGTACTTCTAGGTTGCTTCAATATAGATACTTGGATTATGATTATTCCTCATTTCAAGGTTATAATCCTCACTATAGTGTGTTTAGAGAAGCATTCTTCTCCCGGCTCACCATATTAAAAAGTACCATTATTCGATTCTATATCAACTATATCCATCTAATTTCTTATACATTACATTATTGTTGAAATAAGTAAAAGTATCGAGTTTATTCGACAGTTAGTTTAAATAAAACTGGATTTAAACACTTACGTTCCCTCTACGATTACGGCAACTCCAGCAGGTTGCACTGCCTTGGTAACGGCAACGGCGATTTGCTTGGTAAGTCGTTCCTGTACTTGTAGCCGCCTAGAGTAAATTTCAACGATCCTAGCTAACTTGCTAAGTCCCAAAATTTTTCCACATGGTAAATATCCGATGGAAACCTTTCCGTAGAAAGGTACTAAATGGTGTTCGCACATGGAAAACATTTCGATATCCTTTACAACTACCATCTCGTCGTGGTCTTCGTCAAATATAGCATCATTCAGCACCTCTGCAATAAAAAATTATATTTAAATAAATATAATAAACGTTATCATACTAACTATCGTTAAGAAAAACAGAAAGACAATATACCCACAGAAAACGTATTAATAGTCTCTTACAGGGAAGCAAAAACAATATAGCAGCGAAGAATATACATCAACAGGCACATATTTGTGAGAAATATGTATATTACAAATACGTAGACAAAATATTTTGTTATTAAATGACATCAGATAGCAGAATCTTATTTTACAGTTTGTTTATATAATACTAATACGGATAAAATCTAACCTAACTAATTCTAGGTTTGTGTGTTAATGAAGCTTCTCTTTACGGTACCAAGAATGTTTCACCATCACCTATTAAAAGGTTCTATATTCTTAGATAAGTAATTTTATGTGAGGTGAGTACGACCGTGAGTGGAACGAACATATGAGTAGAATGGCAAAGGATAGAATAGTACGAATAGCACGAGATAAGTCACCAAATGGAGGAAAAGGCATTGGCACACCAACAAAAAGATGGTGCGACAATTTAAACAATTTATGAGGCTAATATTGAAAAAGAAACAGGCTTTAAAGCCTACATACTAGAAGGAAGAAGAAGAAGAGTACGACCATGTGGGACCTAAGGAGTCAACTTATTGTATCAGATGGTACCTAGGTTTAATTAGCAGTCTACGAGCTTTCAGGAAGTACAGTGTGGAACTCAAAACTTAAGATATTTTCTTCTGGAAGTAGCTATCCATTCTCTAGCTTCTCGTAGTACAAAAATGAATTAAAAAAAGTAAACACAGCAAAAAGAGTGAGCAACACTCTAGTTAAAGTCATTCGGACACTATTATGGCTACGGAAAATCGTGATAAAACTTAGCAATGACTGAAAAAGAAACAGCGAGCGAGCATGAGCGGCGCAGTGAAGAAAAGGTTGAAGAAAAGATAGGTTCAGTACATGAAACAACTCTTTGATCTACAATCTATAAACGGCTTTCAAGTTTCTATTGCAAATATCCAAAAGTATTTATTATGGAATGTTTTTATCTCACTTCTGTTATTTGCATTGTTACAGTCCGATAGTCATTATGAATGACACAATGATATAATATTCTTAATGACACAATCGTTGTTTCAACTGTGTTTTTTTGTGTTTGGCCATTTTTATTTTTTGAAAGTGTCTACGAACGCTAGCTATCATCATGATAAGCTATTTTATTAAGTCTGCTCAATGCTGAAATTAATGAAATATTTTGAATAGCTGTTTTAATTGTTAAACATAATAAATTGTTGCAAGAAAATTCTTCTCTAAGATTTCTTATCCCAAACATCTTGCTCAACGTAAGTTTGCCTGCATATTTCTTTACATAATTAATAGTAGCCATCAGTATTTATCTCCAAGTGTAAAATAACTCAACTGTACTTTTTTTGTTTCACTTATAGATGCTGTCTTATTCTTTTGGTTTGCCCTTTTGATTATTGATCTATTATTCATATATACATGTTATTTGTTTATATAGGTAGTTTGGTGACTGTTTTTTGTTATTTGTTTATATATGTATTTTGGTTTAAAAGTTTTCTTTGTAACTCGAAGAAAGGACAAAGTGGCGCCCCTTCTTTCTTTTTATTTCGTTAAATTTTTGTCCATTTTCTTTCATTAAGTAAGATTCATTTTTTTTATTCTTTCTGACTTCAATATCCACTGCTCATAATAAGCGATCTGTAGACTCACGTCCCAAAGCTGGCCGTTGTGTCCTTTAAAAGTCTTGAGTGCCAGTTGCAAAATGAACGTTCTTGGAGCTGGAATTCTTCTTCTTCGCGTGCCATGTCAGAATTATCCGACGTTGGCAATCACCATTGCGAAGGCTTCTCGGTCTTTTGCAATATGGAATAATTGTCCTGAATTTAACATCTAAGTCCATTCACGAATGTTTTTTAACCAAGAAACTTGTTTTTTTCCTACACCTCTACGGCCCTTTATGTTGCTTTTAAGAATCAGTTGTAATATTTTATATCGACTTCCCTTAGTATATGTCCCAGATAAGACATTTTTCGATGTTTCACTGTCTTTAGCAGTTCTCTATCTTTGTTGACGTTCCTTAGTACTTTTTGACTAGTTTTCCTTGCTGTCCAAGGTATCTTTAGCATTCGTCTATGAACCCACATTTCCAATGCTTCAATTTTGTTCATGATCGATCCATACTTCTGCACTATACAAAAGTACGGACCAAACATAGCACTTATTTATTCTTTGTCTTAGTTCTAAACTGAGATGGTTATTGCAAAGAAATGACTTCATTTTCATAAAAGTAGTTTTAGTTATTGCTATTCTACGTTTTATTTCTATGTCTGCATCTAGTTGGTCCGTTATCACAGTTACCAAATATGTCATTTTGTGAACTTTCTCAACTTGGACTCTGTTTAATTGAAGCTTTGCATAGGGATGTAGGTCACGACTAAACACTAAAAATTTGGTTTTGTTTAAGTTTATTTTAATGTCCATTTCCTCTCCTACTTCGTGAATATGATCGAGTAGAATTTGGAGGCCTTGAATATTATCTGATAGAATTACTGTATCGTCTGCATATCTAATCACATTAAGTAGTTCCCCGTTGATTTTTATTCCATTGGGTTGTCTCTCAAGTGCTGTTTTAAATAACTGGTCCGAGTAAATATTGAACAATGTTGACGACAAAATGCAACCTTTTCTGACTTCTCGTTGTATGGAGATTTCATCGATGTGGAATTCTCAAATTTTGACGATAGCTGTTTGATTCCAGTACAAATTTTTAATGACACGAGTATCCTTGTCAATTATTCCAAAATTTTTCGGTATTTGCAATAATTTTACATGTTGTACTTTATCGAATGCCTTTTCGAAGTCCACGAAACATGCAAATACATATTTTCTTTGATTACGGCATCTTTCTAATAGGATGTTAAGCGCAAAAAGTCTCCTGATTCCCATAGCATTTCTAAAACCAAATTGGGTATCTTCGAGATTTTCTTCGCATCTAATTTTGTTGTGAAGTATTCTTAGGAAAATTTTGAGTGTGGCACATTAAGCTAATTAATCGATATTCTAAGCATTTTCTCGCATTGTGTTTTTTAGGTATTGCGACAAAGATAGATTTGAGCTAATCTGTGGGAATCACTCCGGTGTTATATATTGAATTGTCTTACTACTGCTTTTATGTTATCACCCTCTATTAGTTTCAGCAACTTAGTTGGTGTATCATCTGGACCACAAGCTCTTCTAATTTTAGCATTATTTATAACGTGTTCTACCTCGCATTTCATAATTTCTGGGCCGTCAGTACAGTTTTGGTAAAATTCGGCAATATTATTCTTGTCATTTTCAAATAACTCTAATATATACTGTATTGTTTTGTGTGTTTTGATTTTGCTGAAGATTTATAATGTTTGAGAAGTGAACGAGTTTAGTTCCTCCTTTCTTTCGTTTTTTGAGAAATCCAGTTCCTTTCCGAGATGCCTTTTCACCTCACGTAGAATGATATTGAAGCAGTTTTGTTTTGAATGTGCCAGTTTCAGCTTCCAATAAAGCTTTCCGTTGATGTGCAGTTAGATACCCCATAGAAATTAGCCAGTTGTTCAAAAGTTTAAGTTAACATGTGTGAACTGAGGTAACATTTACGTTATTAATTTTTAAAGTAAAAATAGACATTTTCTTTTAAAAAGACAAAATTTGCTTTCTTTTATAAATTATTTTTTAAATTATTTACTAGGAACCATTTCGAAGAATTTTGTAACCTTTTGTAAACAGATATGTAAGTTTTTTCATTTGTATTTGACAGCTATTTTTATATAATATGCCTTTGTATAAGCTGTATTTTTGAAAACTGTTAGAGACAAAAATAAATGTTTAATTTGTTTCTCTGGTCTATTTTGAGTTTTATTTGAAAAAGATATTATTTTTTCTATATTTTTGATGTACTATAATTATTTCCCTAGTTACAACTAGTGGTTGTAATAGGTATAATTAGGCACTTCAAGTGGCGCCCTATATTAAATTTCTTGAGGTGGTTCCGTTTATTTTCATTCTGTTTGTCCCAAGAGATTGTATAAGTACCCCTTTATTTCTTTTTTTTGTAGTTGCTCCAATCCAAACCCCAATATCTTCAACTTATCCACGACCCAGCTCTCCAACAACCAACTGAGTGTCGTATGCACTTGTTTCGATTATTTTGTTTGCCCAATCTTGTCCCCCCATATTCTTACCCTGTGGTAAGCAAAATAGTCGTTACAATACAGCTGCCATTCTGTTCTTATTTCGTGCTCATTTACAATAATTTTTTTATTATTATCAACGAGCACACAGGAAACTCGGTTTTTTTTTAAATATGTTACTCATTTCTCTTAGTTTTTTGTGCACATTAAATAAGTCATGTTTACATATTACATCCTCCATTTCGTCGCACCTTTCTTTCATGCATTTTTCATTGGCTACTTTGATCTCCTTTTTATTCTTCTCTGCAGGTTTCTATATTCTGTTTCACTAGATTTTATTAGTCGACGTTGTTTCAGTAATTTCAAGATGTCTGTCATCCATTTATTTTTCTTGATTAAGTTTTTTCTATAATCATTGTTTGTGAAGATTTCGTTAACTTGGTTTTTAAATTCACTCCATAGTTCTTCTGGATCTTCTAGTTGTTCTCCGATATTTTTATATTTTATTGTTAAATTATTTTTTAATGTCATGTTTAAGTTTATATCGTTAAAGTAAAGTATATTGGTTTTTGGTTTTTGTCGCTGAATTTAGATCCAATATCTGCCCCAGGAAATGTAGTGACTTTTTTGATGGCATTCCGTGACTCATTTACAATTATATAGTCTATTGTATTCTTGAAGACTCAGGTTTATTGCCATCATCAAATGGAGCTTTCCAAATGTATAGTCGTCGCTTGGGTAGTTTACACCAGGTGTTTGCAATGATCATATCGTTTTCTTTACAAAATTCATACAATCTCTGTCCTCGATCGTTAGGTTGTCCTAGA